TCCCAAAAATCTGTTGAAGATAGAGAGATAACTCAACATCTTCATTATATTATTACATTCTCTTGTTTTAAGAGCCATCTATTTTTGTTCTTGCTGTTCGAAGCTTTTAAGTGGGGTGGTTTTTATTTGGTAATGAACACATTTTCTTTATTATTTTTGGTGTGCGTAGGCCGATAGACGTAATATACAGTGCTTAAATTCAGTGTCTATTTTATTTCAAAGATGGGTATCCACGAAAAATTAAGTTTGAAATAATAAAAATAAATCCATTATTTCTTTAGTAATATGTATCTTATATATATATATATATATATATATATATATATGTAAGATGCATATTACAAAATCCATTAAATGTGCACTAAGGAATTGTATTCCTGATAAATCAAAATTCGTAAATAATTATATAGGCCAAACTACAACATGTTTGACTCTCACTATTCCTTTCTGACTACAGCTCAATTAGATCTCATTTAAATATTCATGGAAACCTACCGGACACTATTCGTAACATACTTATTGAAACACAAATATAATAGCATCATCTACATGCAAAAAAAGGCAAAAACTAATTGAAGACTTATTAATAAAAAAAAAACAACAGTTAATAATATCAACTATGAATATGGACACAATATCTTGACCGTGATTTGAAAGTGAAAACATTATATAAATACATACATACAACAAACTATTTCTTGTTAACAGTTAATATAATTCATCCTTGAAAATGGCTAAATGTATAGGCGAAGCCGCTCTGATAAAAAGAACATTCGGACGGTCTTTATATAATTTATCATCAGAAAAGAAAAAAATTATTAGATCACATGAAAAATTCTATAAAAAACTAAATCAAAGCACCTTGTCTGTCGTATTCAATGAAATGTGCGTGTATATATATATATATATATATATATATTTGTTCTATCTTTATCTATATACTTTTGTAGCACGGCATCAAATTGCTTCTTTAATGTGAAAAAAGTGTGTTGTCTTCATCTTTACTCTCACATTCACGACGTTTTGGCTGTTGCATGCTCCGGCCGTCTTTGGGTGATATTCATTGGAATTTCGAACCGAAACCTTTATTTAGTCCACGGCGGTAGGTAGATTGATCTAATGTCTTTGTATATCTCTAGTTTTAGTCAATTCGCCTTGATAAGAAATTTTTTGTTCACTCCGCTACTGCCAGAGATTGAACTCACAACTCTTTGGATCAAGTCACATTTTCTTAGATCAATTACCCAATGCTTTTATCCACTGACGTATACGGTTCGAAATTCCAACAAATATCAACTGAAGAAGGCCGGAGCGTACAACAACAACCGAAACGTCGTGAATGTGACAGTATGGATGAGTAGTAGTATTACCCGAAGTCTCCTTCGGGGAGGTAAAACCGGCCCGGAACCCGTTTATACGGGTTCAAATGGGCTATTTTTTGGCCGAGCCTAATGGCTCGGGAATGCCCACGTTAAAAAGGCCTTGTGCCACATGACACCCTCGTGGGGGGGGGGGTGACTCAATATCGATGAGGATAACAGTTCGAACAATGTAAATAGGATAAATAGTTACAATACCTCTGAGAAATATAGACGCAAAAATGTGTTTTTTTATCATTTCGCCTCAAACAAAGCGGTAAAAGTCATTAAAACACAAAAATACAAAAGGTTATAGAAAATGATAGGGGCGGTTATCGGGAATAGGTGGTGGGACAGACTTAAATGTAGAATTAGGTCCTTCACCACTGATTTCAGCAAACGGCTCGCCCTAGATAGAGCTGATAAGGTGAGGACATAAAAGCTAGTCATGCCCGGGCGGTGGCTGGGGGATCCCCTAGAGATAGCCGTAGCTAAGGAGGCTCTGCAGCGTTTGAATAGCGAGCGCTACATGGGCCAGGTAATTAGGCATAGGTTAAGCAAGATGTCTTCCGAAGCCGTGAATATGGGCGCAGAGCTGCGCAGGAAGAGGTCCGTCGAGGTGGCGATCGTTATATTCGTGAAGTCAAAACCCGGAAGGGCGCACCTTCGGGCCACTGACGACATGTGCGAGGCGTTTCGGCGGCATTTCGAGCCGTTTACCAGGAGCCTGGTCTTCGTGAGGACGAGTTTCGCAGCTATTTGGCTGACTTTCCTCGGCTTTCGCCGACTGAAGCGGCTAGCTGCGAGGGAGAGGTTACCGAGGGCGAGGTCTACGCGGCTTTGAAGAAGGTCGGCAGAGGCAAGTCGCCCGGTCTGGATGGTCTGCCCTATGAAGTGTACTTGAGGCTGTCGCACATCTTTGTCCCGATTTTGACGGTCGTATTCAACAACTGGTTCCGGCAGGGTCTCTCCCCGACCGGTTCTCCAGGGGTGTGATCACGCTGTTGAAAAAGGGCAAGGGTGTTGGGGGAAGCTAGACGACTACAGGCCCATAACTCTGCTAAACACAGAGTTAAAGATTATGGCCAAGATCCTGCAGGAGCGCTTGCAGTCAGTTGCCGAGTCTCTGTTGGGTCCCGAGCAGACCTGTTCTGTGAGGGGTCGAACAATTCAGAGCAACCTGCATTTGATCCGCACGATCATAGAGGGTGTAAAAGACGACGAGTGTGCCGCGCTGATCAATTTGGATCAGTCCAAGGCATTTGATAGAGTTGACCATCGCTACCTTGCTACTGTCCTGCAGGCCGCCGGATTCGCACCGACTTCTGCCGCTGGATTAGCCTCCTGTATCGCTCCCCCAGTGCTGTGGTACAGGTGAACGGAAAGCTGTCAGGCGCTTTTGCGCTGTCTAGGTCGGTCCGTCAGGGTTGTCCGCTGTCGCCCCTACTTTACGCTTTGGCGTTGGAGCCTCTCCTTCGCCGGCTGAGGGACGGGGCGTGCAGGCCGGCCCTATGCGGAATCGCCGTTCCTGGCGGGGATCGAGCCAGGGTTTCCGCGTACGCCGATGACGTAACTGCTTTCGTGTCGTCCCGCAGAGGCATCAGAGCAGTACAGAAGGCGCTTGATCGGTACGAAAAGGTGACAGGGGCCAAGATTAACCGCGACAAGTGCCTGGAAGGGGGTCGATCTTCCAGGGCCCTTCGGTTGGACGGACGGTCCTGTCCGCATTCTCGGAGTGTGGTTTGGACCCGACCTCCAGCTGGAGAAGAATTGGTCTGAAGTACGAGCAAGGTCTACGCCGCCGGTCAGACTTGGCGTCGACGGAGGTTGTCCGTGAAGGGCAGGGCGGAGGTGTGTGCTACATACATTTTCCCTCTTGTCCTTTATCGATTGTCCGTACTTCCTCTCTGTGACGACCACAGGACACCGCTCGAGCGCGCGCTAACCTCCATTCTATGGAGGAGACGCGCGAATCGGGTCGACAGAGAAGTCTGTGCACAACGTCCGTGTCATGGGGGGCTGGGAATGCCACTTGCTGAGCCACAAACGTGCCTCGAGGTTGGCTTTCCTACGCCGCGCTTTGACAGGTGGAGATCCGATTATTGAGGGGATTGTGAGGGCCGCCTTCCTCGCCTTACCATCAGTCCCCCAAGCTCGCGGGTGGATCGCCGTCGTAAACCCCGGGTTCAATCGGTTTCTTTCGCGAGTGTCGGTCGGCCTTGTTGGCTGTCCCTTGGTCCAGTGACCTTTCTCGGCCTAGAAAGGACTTCTATCGTTTGCTAGTGGAGGGGTCGCGAAGGATCCACTACGTGAGGATCTCGACATGTCGGATGATGAGTTTCGCTCTCACTGGTCTTGGGCGCCAGCGGCGGATTACCTCAGTAACCCTGAGTTTTCGCTTACCTGGCAACTGGCTCGGAATCGGCTGCCTCTCAACGACATGGCCTTCATATGGGGCTTGGCGGACTTGCCAGACTGCGATCGGTGTGGCCTTGGTCTAGAGGAAACGGCTTCGCACGCCTTCTTCCATTGCCCCCGTGTCCGCCCCTTATGGGACCATGTCGGCGAGCTGACGGCTCGTCTCGCCGGAAAAGCTTGTGCCCATGGATCGTGCATACGCGTGTGACAATGTGTCGCCCCTGTATTCCGGGGTGAAACGGATGGTGTTTCTCATGCTGCTAGCCACGGCCCGAATGGTGATATGGACGACGCGAGAGGAGGAAGTCTTGCGGGGTAAACCGTCTTTCTCATCAGGATCTGATCCGATTCTTTGAGCATCAGCTCAAGACGAAGATTAGAACTGATAGAAAATCTTGCATTCGACAGTCTTCAGCGAAAGGTGGGTGACTGAGGCGAGCTTGGTTCGTGTGAACGGGGCTAGCCTTGATTTTCTGTTTTAGGTCAAGCCTACGTTACATCGGGGTGGCTTCCTGTGGTGCCCCCCTTGGTTAGGTTAGACAAGCCTTGGTGTACCTAGTTAATGCGAGTAAGTGTTGTTCGGGCCTGCCCCGGCCACATCTTTAGTTATGATCCAGCCTGAGATTCCCAACCTCCCCAGTTTGTTTTTTTGATCCCCACTTTCTATCTCGACTGGGTCAGCTTTATACTTCCACATGCCCGTATGATTTTTTATCACCTTTCCCACTCCCTTAGCGAGAGAGCTGCTTGATTTTTGTTCCAATGGGCAGAATACAGTGGTCTCCCTGCATTTTGAGGGTTGGAAGGGCCCTACTAACATCAGTTAACGTTTTATTTTCATTTATGTTAATATTTTAGTTTGTTATTGGGTTCACATCCCACCCCCATCTCATTTTTTTCATCTTAGAATTTTTGTACATATGTGTTAGGATCATTATGACATGGGGCGCGTTTGTAGGTCTCCCTAGAGTGGATGTGGTATTATGGTGCAAGGAGGATTGATTGATGACGGACGAGTTCTTATGGTGAATGAGTAAATTGTAATGTCTGAATGGGTCGTGAATCAAATTAGCTAGGTATAAGATAGTTAGTGAAGACCAGCCCTACCCCTCCCCTTTTCGGCCTTTGTGCCACAATTTTGTATTTTTTACAAAATAAATCCCGGTTATAGAAAATGACGTCATCGAGGAACAATGACAACAAAAACAACAGAGCCAACATGACAATGAAACACCGGTTCCCGTACGATCACCGAAGTTAAGCAACGCCGATCCCAGTCAGTACTTAGATGCGTGAGCCCTTGACAATACTAAGTGTTGTAAGCTTGTATGTATGTGTGGGTGGTGTAATAGAAATTGATTGCAATTGTTAATCGGAGAGCCGAGTTTCAATTCCAGTTGGGTTCGTTTTATTACTTACGCACAAATACTCTTGAGCAAGTATGTATGAATATATATATATATATATATATATATATATATATATAATATTAGTGGTACATATACACATATATATGCAAAAATATATAAATATATATACATAGGTGCACGAATTTTCTTTTTGAATTTATAGGTCTGATGAATTGGATCGTATTTACGATTCCAATGGAATAAATTATGACCATGGAATATTAGTGTTTAAGCTTTTTTATTATATATATATATATATATATATATATATATATATATATATATATATGAAAGAAAAATATGAAAAAACAAAATTCTGAATATGCGATGTTGTTAAAACGTCGACGTCGGAAGTTTGATTTAAAGACCATCTTCCAAAAATTAAAATATCAAAAGTCGATTGAAAAATTTTTATAAAAGTTAAAGAAATCTCTTCCGTTGATGTTGGAATACGTAGTGAAACAATTGGTTCTTATATCTTCAACAAGCTTGAAAGTCCTTGCCGCCACGAGACGACTACGTGATCATATTTAAACAGAACGCTGATCTGTATAAAATTTCAGTTATCTGTTTGAATTAGTTGGGTTCTTATGTCCATCGTCTTTTGTGTTAAATTGTTATAAGTTATAATGTTAATTATGTTTAAATGAAAATGTCCATGAAGATGGTCTTAAATAGACCGAAACGTCCGACGTCGACTTTATTTTAACATTAATAATGCATATTCAGAATTTTGTTTTTTTCTGTATTTTTCTTTCATACTTTCGGATTTATATCCATATATTTGCTTACATATATATATATATATAATGTCTCGTCTAGACAGTGAATAAAGTGTCGTTTCTTGTACATAATTTGAAAGTCCTTCAAGTAGAAGAAAAAAAAAAAAGAAAAATGAGAAATGGTGAGTGGAAATTTTTTCTTGCTGCAATAAAACATTCAGAAGTATCAGTTATTTTCCTTTCATTTTTTTTTCAAATTCTTATTCGTCTTCTTTTGTCTGTCCAAAATGATAAAATATTATCAAAAAATGATTGAAAAATTACACCATCTTTTCTTTAAGTTGTTCTTTTATCATGAACCAGGTAAAAAGTAATTAAGTTTCGAATAATATATGAAGCGTTTAGGTGTTATTTTTTTAATAGACAATTACTTCGTTATGCATTATCTAACTAAATTCTACTTAAATTTACATTCATCTCAGGAGACAGCTGAAGCATGGGTAGCCAAAATGAGAGAAAGCTGTTTTCTTTTTGTGTGTAAGAGTTCGCATTCTAAAAAGATCTTAAAGTAAACCAAAGAAAGAGTTTTCTTCATGTGTTAATTACACAATTTTATTCATTGGATTTTGGTAAGCTTTATATTTCACGATTACTAACAGTTAATAACAACGTTTCAGTATTAGCCAACAACAACAACAACAACAACAACAATAATAATAATAATAATAATAATAATAATAATAATAATAATAAACAAAAACATCCCTGAGAAAGTTTTTGAAAAACTAAGTAAATACACAGACCTGAAGATGAAAATAGAAAAAAAAATCTGTCACTTAAAAGCTAAAACTTTTTCTGCTGTGGATCTGATAAAGAAAGGATCTCAAGAATATATCAGCAATATCCCTGGTGTTTCATATCTCCTGGAAATCCAAAAATTAATTCTAACAAGCACAGCCGATATCCTGCAAAGTGTTTTGCTCATTTAATATTTTTAATAGCCTTCTTTTGTTTACTAAAGTGGAAAGAAAATAAAATCATATCCCTCGCTTGTCCTAGCTTCTTTTCTTTTTATGTAACAAGTTCTTTCAGGACGGAGGCGATTAAGGCTCTCCACCACATTCTATTCCTTGCAGCTCCCAGCAAACTCCTTCCTCTCCAAACCACGTTCTGTAATCCACCTGCTCAAGTTCGTCAGGTATATCACGCGCTGCTTTCCCTTGTCTCTCTTTCCCTTTATTCGACCCGTGAGTATCAGATTCTCCAGGCCCTCCTTCCTCATTATGCGTCCCAGAAACTGCCTCTTTCTGGTGTTAAGTATAAGCCTTTTCCTTGTTTGTAACCTCTCTAAGACCTCATCGTTGCTCACATGCTCGGTCCATGAAATCCTTAGCAACCTTCTGTAGAACCACATCTCCGTTGCCTCGAGTCTCTTCATCTTTGAGGAAATCGTCCAACATTCGCAGCCGTAAAGAAGAACAGATGTCACCTAGCAGCTCAGTATTCTTTTCTTTGTTACCAAAGAAATCCTCCTGTCTCGCAATACTCTGTTCAGCTTTTGGAATGTGTCCTTGGCCATCCGAATACGTCTATGGATCTCAGTGTCGCATTTACCGTCCTCTGTCAAAACACTTCCCAGATACCTAAACTTCTGCGTCTGCTTGGTTTTAGTGTCCCCGACCTGAAAATCGCATTTCGGGCTCATCCTTTTACTGATGACCATGCATTATGTCTTCCTGTAGTTTATGCTTAGTCCTTTCTTCTCACTCTCCGTCGCTATAATCTGTAGGAGATTTTGAAATTTCTCTTCCGTGTCTGTTATCAGAACTGTATCGTCTGCGTATTTTATGTTGTTAACGTTTTGGCCGATAATGCTAAATCCCGGTAGGATTTCCAATTCTCTCAGAATTGTCACGCTGTATAGGTTGAACAGGTCGGGTGAGAAGACGCATCCTTGCCTTACGCCCCTTTCTATTTTCGTATATTCACTGAACCCGTTCCCTATTCGTATGTATGCTGTTTGCTGCCAGTATAGGTTCTTGATTATTCTGATATTCCTCCCGAATATATCAAGGTTGTTGAGCAGTTCCATCAGATCCTTGTGGCGTACTTTGTCAAAGTCCTTTGCTTAGTCTATGAAACATAGGTACACGTTCTTCTGCATCTGTATTGCTCTTTCTGATAACATTCTGAGCATGAATATCGCGTTCCTTATTCCGGTGTCTTTAACGAACCCTCACTGTTCTTGTCCTATCTCTGGCCTGGTTCTGCTGCGCGCTCTATTCAACAGAATGCGGATGATGTGTTTTGTCGTGTGGCTCATCAGGCTTATTGTTCGGTGGAGTTCGCATTCTTTTGCGCCTGGTGAAGATAGATCTGCTGAGGTCTTTCCATATATCCCCGCTGTTGTAGATTTCATTTGTGATTTCGGTGATCTTGTCTATGCCAAAGTCATCTAAGACTGTCAGCATTTCCGCAACAGTTCCGTCTGGCCCATCTGCCTTGTTTCTGTTCAATTTGGCCAGTGCGGCCTTTACTTCGGTTTCCAGAATTCCATGTCCGTCGGTAGTTCTGTCTATTGCGTGTTGTTCCCTTCCGTCGTGGAAGAGTTCTCCAATATACTCGCTCCAGCGTTGAAGAATTTTTCCTTCTCTAATATGAATGTTCCATCTTTTGATTTTAGGCAGCCTGTTGACGAGCACGTCTTCTGTTCTGTTGTCTTATTTGTTTGTGCATGTCTCTTTTGTTGGTAGTACTCAATCTTTCTATTTTTGTACATTTTTCGTTTAGCCATTCTTCTTTAGCTTGCCTGCATCTAGTCCTTATTTCATTGTGTAATTTTCTGTACTCCGTCCCGTATCTTGACAGGGTTTTCTGTCTCCTTTCCATCATATCGAGAATTACATCAGTCATCCAATCGTTTTTTCCTTTTCCGTCCTGTCTCCTTTGGGATGATATCGTTTGCTGATGTCACTATAGCGTCTCTTAGTGCCTCCCATTTTGAGTTTCCATTGCGTGCCTCGTATCTTCTCTTCACGTTGTCCATATATTTTTCTTTTAGGTTAGGATCGCTCAGGAGTTTGTCGATTTGCAGTTTGGGTACTGCGTTAGGCTTCTTCAGTTTCTGCAGTCTCACTCTTAGTTTACATATAAGAGGGCGATGATAGCTTCCGCAGTCGGCACTTGGGTAGGTTTTTGCAGTGAATCATTACATTCCTGAATCTTTTGTTGATGGTTATATAACCACTTTGGTTTTTAGTTTCTCCTCCTGGACTCCTCCATGTCCATAGTCGTCTCGGAAGATCTTGGAACTATGTGTTGGCTATTACTTCGTCATTGGCTGTGCACCATTGGATCCATTTTTCTCCGCGTTCGTTGCGGGTTCCTCTTCCGAATCTTCCTGCTATATCTCCTGCCCTTTCCCTGCCTACTTTGTCGTTTAGGTCTCCCATGATAATGATGATTTCCTGTGATTTGCATAAAGCCTTGGCACTGTCCAACATGGAGTAGAAATATTCGATGTCCTCTTTGCTTTGTGCCGTCGGTGCACAAACTACTATAATAGACACGTTGAACGGCTTCCTTTTCAGCTGCACTAGCAGAATTCTCTCACAAAGTTGGTGGTATCCTAGAACGCATTTCTGAAATGTACTATCTAGTATTAGTTCTACTCCTTTGTCGTTCTTCTCGCCACCTGCATAAATAATCCTCTGTCGCTGACGAAATCACCGTTATTTGGCGACCTGGTTTCACATACACCTAGAATGTTGATGTTAAGTCTGTTCATCTCTTGTTTAACATTATCAAACTGGCCGCAGTTATTCGCTGTTCGGACGTTCCATGTCCCGAAAGTTAATTTGTGTTTGATGCGAGCAGTCGCAGGATAGCGGTCCGGTGACACCTGTCGATCATATCGTTCCTTTCCGGGAGAGGAATCGGTTCCGAGGAATTTTATCCCTTTTACACCGTTTATGCTAGCTGTCGCTGGATGACGGTTAGGTGACACCTGTTGCGCATGTCGGTCCTTACCGGGCAAGAAGCTAATTCCAATAAAATTAACCCCTTCACGCCGTTAGGTTTCGTATAATCTGAGTTGTTAGTCATGATTTGTCTTAGGATAGACAGTGGAGTGGTTTCTCCTTACCTTCTCTACGGTGGTTTATGGAGACACCACCTCTAGTTAGCTGGCCAT